GCATCAAGATGTTTGATGGTTGTATCCGAACAATCTCCAATGTTCAACATGTACCTACATTGAAGAAGAATCTTCTGTCCTTGGGAAAGTTTGACAAGCTTGGAATGAAAATCATAGGGGAGAATCGTCAGCTAAAGGTAGTCAAAGGCATTATGGTTGTGGCAAAGGGTGAACTGGTTGGGAATTTATACAGATTGGTGGGTGAGACTTTAGTGGGAGAAGCTGTTGTTGCAAGCTGTTGCAAGTACCAAGTCTGAATCCTCTTCTGTTTGGCACAAATGATTGGGACATATGAGTGATCGTGGGCTTTAGGTACTATCCAATCAAAAACTTCTTCCTGGTTTCAAGATTGACTCACTGGGTTTCTGTGAAGATTGTGTGTTTGGAAAACAACATAGGCTGTCTTTTTCTTTGTCAACAAATAGAAGCCATAAATTCCTTGACTTGATTCATGCTGATACTTGTCAAGTTCTCGTTGTTTCTATTGGTGGGTGTTCTTACTTTGTGACATTCATTGATGATTTCTCCCGAAATGTATGGATTTTCATGCTCAAAAAGAAATCTGATGCTTTTGAAAAATTCAAAAAGGCACAAAAATTAAGTGTCTCCGAACTGATAATGGGGGAGAATTTTGTAGCAAGGAGTTTGATGATTTTTGCAGTGAGCATGGTATTAAAAGACATCTTACAGTACCAGGAACACCACAGTAGAATGGGGTTGCTGAGAGAATGAACCGAACTCTCATGGAGCGTGCTAGATGCATGATGAGCACTGCAAAATTGGGGAAGGAATTTTGGGCTGAAGCTGTTAACACTACATGCTATCTAATCAACCGCTCACCCACTGTTTCTCTCAACATGAAAACTCCGGAGGAGGTTTGGTCTGGTAAACCTGCAAATTATTCTTTCCTTCGAATATTTGGATGTGATGCTTATGTTTGGGTGCCTATGGAGAAAAGAACCAAAGTTGACAAAAATTCAAAAAGATGTATTTTTCTTGGCTATGAGACAGGTACAAAGCGGTACAGATTGTGGGATCCTACTGCCCGCAAGCTTATTATTAGCCGAGATGTGGTTTTTAATGAAGATGTTTTTCAAGGCACAACTAAAAATGAAGAAGCAAGGAAGCTTGTTATTGAGCAAGAAGCTAGTTTTGATGATATTGTACAGGAGGAAAATATTCAAAATGATCCTCAATCTGAGTCTGAGCTTTTACATGAAGGAACTTCATCTGGTGATGTTGTTTCGCCTCGACCTCGAAGGGCCATTAGACCTCCAGCGAGGTATGATGACTATGTTACATCTTTGAAGCCTTAATCTAATTATGTATGTGCTTATCTTGCTTTGTCAGAAGAACATGAGCCAACTTCTTTCAAAGAGGCTTGTGAGTCTGTCAATTCTGACCAATGGCGAGGTGCAATGGAGGAGGAGATGGAGTCTTTGCACAAGAACAAAACTTGGGATCTTGTTCAACTACCAGAAGGTCGAAAGGCAATTGGATGTCGCTGGATATACAAGTTGAAGAAGGACTCAGAAGGGAATATAGAAAGATACAAAGCCAGACTTGTGATTAAAGGGTATGCCCAAAAACTTGGTATTGATTTTGATGAAGTTTTCTCACCAGTTGTTCGTATGACTACTATTAGAGTTGTTTTAGCTCTTGCTGCTTCTCTTGATCTTGAGTTAGAACAACTAGATGTCAAGATAGCTTTCTTGCATGGTGACTTGAATGAAGAAATTTATATGACACAATCTGAAGGCTTTGTTGAAGAAAATAATAGAAGTTTGGTTTGTCGGCTGAACAAATCGCTTTACGGTCTGAAACAAGCGCCTAGATGCTGGTATAAGCAGTTTGATTCCTTTATCGTGAGCTTGGGATTTCATAGATGTGAAGCTGATCATTATGCTTATTTTTGTGATTATAATGATGGATGCTTCTGTATCTTGTTATTGTATGTAGATGACATGATTATTATAGGAAATAATCCCATTTATGTCTCTACATTAAAAGCTCAACTTGCTGGGGAATTCGATATGAAGGACTTGGGAGCCATGAATCAAATTCTTGGGATGAAGGTATTTAGAGATAGAGAGGACAGGAAGATCTGGTTGAATCAAAAGAACTACATAGAAAGGGTTCTGCAACGCTTCAATATGCAGAATGCTAAACCAGTGAGTACCCCCTTTCCTGTTCATATTAAGCTGTCTTCAGAATACTCACCCAGTACTGAAGTAGAGAAGGCAGCGATGTCTCGAGTACCATACTTATCAGCAATAGGGAGTCTTATGTTTGCTATGGTCGGAACTAGGCCGAACATTGCACAAGCAGTGGGAGCTGTTAGCAAATACATGGCAAATCTTGGTCGTGTTCATTGGGATGCAGTGAAGTGAATCCTTAGATATTTAAAGGACACTTCAAGTGTTTCATTGTGTTACAAGTCAATAGAACCCGATTGTGTTGGTTTTGTTGATGCAGACTTTGCCAGAGATAGAGATAAAAGAAGATCAACTTCTGGTAATGTCTTTATCATGGCAAGTGGTGCAGTTAGCTGGGAGCCTAAATTGCAGCCGGTTGTAGCCTTATCAACAACAAAGGCAGAGTATATCTCTATCTCTCATGCTTGCAAAGAAGCTATTTGGTTGGAGAGGTTGCTTGCAGAATTTAAAATGAAGCAGGACACGCTTTCTATGCATTGTGATAGTCAAAGTGCTTTGTTATTGGCTAAGAATCCAACTTTTCACTCTCACACAAAGCATATCGATGTCTGCTATCATTTTGTTCGACAATTAGTTGAAGATGGGAAGATACTTCCGCACAAGGTTCACACAAGTTCAAATCCAGCAGATATGTTAACAAAACCAGTGGCCCGTGACAAGTTCAATTGGTGCAAGTCTTCAATTGGACTTGAAGAAGTTTGATTCCTTTTCATTTTTTATGTTTGTTTTGTTTCAAGAAACGTGTCTTCAAGTGGGAGATTGTTGAAGACCAAGTCAAATAAGACTGTTAGTGGAGTCCTAATAAAGTGGAGCTGTTGGAGCATACCAAATTTTTATCTGATATGAAGCCACGTTTTTAGTAGAGAGTTACAACAAACTTCTGTTATTTTGCTGTCTATAAATAAGGAGAATGACCAGTTGCACTGTGTGTCAAATTCTCATCTCTTCATCATATTTTCTTGTTATAGTTGTTTTGCTTTCAATATTCAACAATAAAAGTCATTTTAGTTTCCAGTCACTGTACTTCTAATTCTTCAATTTGCTGTCATTTAGTTCCACTCTTGCTATATGCATAAACACCATTTTTACACTCAATCTACTTTTAATTTATCAATATCTTCATGCAGCATTACGTGAAACCCTTAGATTCTTCCCTCCAGTTCCTTATGAGTTCAGGACACCAACACGAAGTGACACTCTTCCAAGTGGGCATTGTGTCAATGAGAAAACGAGGATTTTGGTCTGTACATATGCAATGGGAAGGATGACATCGGTGTGGGGAGAGGACTGTCATGAGTTCAAGCCAGAGAGATGGATCACTGGGGAAGGGAAGATTAAACGCGAGCCTCCAAGCAAGTTCTTTGCTTTCATGTCAGGACCTAGAATGTGTATGGGAAAAGATCTTGCTTTTACTCTTATGAGGGCCACGGCAGCGTCTATAATTCTTAACTACAAGGTGGAGGTGATTCCAGGGCAGAATGTAGGCCCCAGGCCTAGTGTGTTACTCCACATGAAGCACGGCGTGATGGCTAGGATTAAGAGTAGACGAGTTTGAGGTTCTTAGATTTCATGAATGGAAAGTATATCTTTCAATTAATATTTGTGTGCATGTAGGAGACGGTCTTGTTTTGCTTTCTGTGTACTTTTGCTTCAGTTGTCCTTCTTCAAGTGTTGTGTGTTGATGTTTCTATTAGGAATATTAATGGTTATATTATTTGATTTAACATATTTTATAATAAATTTATTAAAAAATATTATTTTTGAATTTAAAAAAAGAAAAAAAAAAAAAAGAACTCAAAATTACATTACGAATTACAGTAGTTAAATCAATGAGTAAAAGTAGCTTAACAGTCTAAGAGAGTAATTCCTACAAATTGTCTTTTTTTTCTTCTTTTATATAACTAGATGATATATTTGGAAAAAAATTTGTTATAATGAAACCTTGGAATCGAAATCTTTGAAAAAACGTCTAAAACATCCATCTTTAGCCGCTAATCCCACTAAAATTTTGGACGATTGGTTTTCATAATAACACATTATCCGTCCGCCGTACAATTCCAGTTCAAGAGCAAAGATCAACTCCGGTTGATTTACACCAAATCCACCCAAGACAGATCTACCGTCCCACTTCTTGGTTTGTTTACTGCAGTAGCAAATCTACTGAAAGGAATGGTAATTAATGTTCCTTGCCTCCTAGTCCAGGAAAAAGACAAAGGCCACTTTCTAATGACAATATCATCTGTTGGTTTGAAGTTCAATATTGGGTATCTCCTTCCCCTTTACCCAAGTATAGGTTCAAGTAAAGGGTAAAAATTTATTTTTAACTCTTTACTTATAAGTTTTAATTTTTTATTTTATATTATGACACTTTTAACTTCTCATAAATTAGAATCGAAAAAAATAATCTTTATTTTATAATATTTTATTAATTTTATTGACTGATTGTTAATTCTATTAGCTGACTATTAATTCTATTAGCTAAAAATAAGTTTTTACCAATTAATGATCAATTAATAGAGTTACTAGTCAGTTAACAAAATAGTTATATTAATTGATTGTTAATTCTGATGGCTGAAAGTAAGTTTTTATCAGTTAATAATTAACTAATAAAGTTAACAGTTAACTAATAAAACTAACAAAATATTATAAGTAAGAGTTATTTTTTTAATTTTAATAGATAAAAAATTAAATATATTATAATATAAAATAAAAAATTAAAACATATAAATATAATAAATGATCAAAGTAAGCTTTTACCCAAGTAAAGTATGCATGTATATTGTTGCAGTATTAAAAAAAGGACAATAATTAATAAAGTTTGGGATTGATGCGTGCAGAACTTTATTTTACAATGATATCCAACGGCAGCCTTATCTGTGAAATGATGAATGCATATTATTCACAAACCCGCAGCCACTTCTCCCCTATAATTTTCTTCCCACTAACGAGAATCAGTGGAGGTGTTAGAAATATTTTTTTAAGTGAAAAAATAAAAAATTCATTAAACAATAATATATTTGAACGTCAATTGGAAAGTCGATAAAAAAATTTTTTTTAAAATAATTATATTTAACAGATTTATTATTTTTTAACTCTTTAACGATAAATTAATATAACAGTAGTTGATGAAGTAATATAAATACTATCCAAAATGAACACATATAATGAGTTTATGAACACTACTTAAAAAAATTTAGGGACTAAACTTCCAATTTTACAAAAACTTAGGGGGCCTCTAAGCTCCGCCAATGACTGAAACCATATCATAAATGGGTCTTTTTAATTTATGTTTTAGAAGTATAGGATAAAGGTGTATTAATTAAATTCATACATATTTTTACAGATAATTTGCATAGAGAATATAAAAGTTAATTTCAAATTTATCAACTACTCAATTAAAATATTTATAATCAATTAAAATATCTATATGACAATAGTATTAAAAATAATATTTACTTTTATATTTTTTATAAATAGTTAATGTAAAAAGATATAATTAATATACTCTGAACTTGTACTAATACAGTACATATTAAAAAAATTAATTTAAGATTTAAGTAGACTAATTTACCCTTTTGATATTAGGCAATTATTATAGTTATTTAATGTGTATATGAGGGCATAATTGGAAATAATGCAATTAATGATTTATTGAAATATGTGAAAGTTATATAAAATGAAACAAAAATACATTCTTAAAATGATATTTAGGCTAAGATTGCTATAATTGTACTTTTTTAACATTAATTAATTTTGAAAAAAAGAAAAATTGACCTTTATTTAATCAATTGCCTAAATAAAATAATTCACATGGTATTGGTGGTGAAATTAATATCAATTTTTGTATTTTCTAATACTAATTAATATCTCTCTTCCCATTTTAAGATGATAGTAGACATTTGGGTGATGATATTGTCATACGCTCAATTACTAATGTCATCTAACAATAACCCCACCCTAGAGATTACTACATTTTTACCTTTATCAATAATCTAATTAAACACATTTTTTTCTAACTTGTGCTTAGGGGCATAAGTTAATGGTGTAATATGCACATTTTTTTCTTCATAAATTCATGTTGGAAGAACAAGAACTAACCTTCAATTATCAATAGTCTAATTAAATTCATTTATATGGTAACAACACTGAAATACCAATTTTTACAATTTTTTATATAAATTTATGATAAAAAATACTTTTAATTCACGTTTTAAGGGTATAAATTAGAGAAACTCTTATTATAATCCACTCATTAATCAAGAAAAATAATGAGTGCTTTAGAGTTTAACCAAATAGGAGTCATTACTCTAGCCAAATATAACCTTAAAAGAACAACTATGGCCTCTCTCAAATGATCGCATACAGTAGCCATTTATGTAAAGAATACTAGAGAATTTTCAAATATATGTATAATATATATCGGTCGTGATTCTTAAAATAAATTAGAATTTTAACTTTAAACTGTATCATTTTATTTAATTAAATCTCAATTTAAAATTTAAAAATTTATTTTATTAAATATTGATATTTAGATTTTGAATTTTGAATTTTAAATTTTAATAGGGTGAGTTTTTGAATTT